GAGTTCAGGCCCCACCACTGGCCAAAAAAAAAAAAAAAAAAAGTAAAACACACACTAAGGCCTCTTTTTTTAGAGATCTACCTGAGACAGTAATTCACTGATTTGTCCAATGTTAACTGAGCCCCTAATGCATTCCAGGCACTGTCCTAGGCCCATGGAGCCTGTGGAAGGCAGCTGGAGCTGCCTGAAGCTGGCTCACCCACAGCAGGGCAGAGGGACTTACAAGGAAGGCCACCCGTCATGGAACCACCACCAAAAAACTATTTTTTTTTTTTTTTTGGCCAGTCATGGGGCCTGAACTCTGGGCCTGGGCACTGTCTCTCTGCTCTTCAGCTCAAGGCGAGTGCTCTACCACTTGAGCCACATCGCCACTTCCAGCTTTTTCTGCTTATGTGGTGTTGAGGAATGGAACCCAGGGCCTCATGCACACCAGGCAAACACTCTACCACTGAGCCACCTTCCCAGCCCCAACGCTCCTATTCTTGAAAGTGGTATTTTGTTATATGCATAGGAAATGGACTTGATTTATGAAGAAGGTGGGCAAAGAGGAGACTGGGTAGAGGTCCAGGTCACAGCTGTGAATGGCCAGCCCAGGTGAAGCTGGCTCAAAGGATAAGACGTAAGCTCAAACTTCATTAGTGAAGACATGTGAGTGAGAGGAGCAGAGACTAGCAGACAGTAAGCTGTTGCTCACAGAGAACCAGGGGCTTAGGGGAGATATAAATAGCTTATTCCTGTCCATGCAAAGTTCAAGGTATCAGATGTGCAATGGAGGTGGTAGGCTTGGGGGCTAGGGGAAGTGCCTGGTCCAGCAAATACAATTTGGAGCTCCGGGAGTATGGGAAAGATGGTGATACGTCATGAGAAGGAGCCTCATACACCAAGGGGCTGGGAAGAAGGGCATCAAGGAGATCCTAAAGAGGAGCTGGTGAGGTAGGAAGACCTGAGAGCCAAAGAGATAGAAAAATGAACCATGCCAGGTACAGCCAAGGGCCTAGGAGAGAGCCCCAATCGTGATCTGGGCAACACCAAAGTATTACATGATAGTTTGGTACTATTTGTTATACCCACTACCGCTGGGTTTATCTGCAGACGTGGTCAGGAGCTTGATGGTGGTAATGGACCAGGGGAGATATTTATGCACAGGTTGTGGGCAAACAGGGGTCACCCACCACCTCAGCCTTGGCAGCAACCTCCCGAAGGAGACAGGTGTGGGACTTAACAAGAGAGGAAGCAGCCAGGGATCTGGGAAAGACAGCTCACTGGTTTTCAGTTTTCCTCTAAAAGGTAGGAAAGGCTGAGGACAGGGCCAGGGAGAGAATCCAGAGCTCTCCTTGTGCTTTCTTCAGTACTCAAGATTCACAGGCCTCTCCACAGTTTGATGTCCACAACCAAGCGTCATAGCCTGGGTGGCTTATCAACAACAGACCTTTCTGTTCTGGAGGCTAGAAATCTGCCATCACATGGTGAAGCCCCTCTCTCTGAGGGCCACTTCGTGGTTCATGGCCAGTCCTTGCTACGTATTTACGTAGAGGAAGGGGAAGAGTTCTCTGGGCCCTCACACCCAGTCACATCCCGAGCCTCCTCCTCCACATACCCAGGGGTGCAGACGGAAACGTTCAGTTATCAGCAGTCTTTGGCCCCCAACGTGAGGAATCTGGAGATGGGCCTTTAATGAGGTCCTTGGGCGGCCTCAGTCCCAGGCGGAACTGGTGTTCTCGCAAGGCAAGCAGACCAGGCCAGGACTCCGCAGGGGGATGGCTGTGTGGGGACCACGTCCGCGCCTCGCAACGTTAGACCGGAAGCCGCCCGCTTGTAACCCCTGGGGCTGGGCAGGCGGCTCCGTGCCCGAGCGCCGGCCTGGGCGCGGGTTCGAGTCCTCGGCGCCCCACAAGCGGAGCGGGCCGGAAGTGGCGCTG